GATGAAACATGTAATGGTAAAAGTCAGCTCAAACGGGTCTAGAATGAACTTGTATGGTATTTGTCCCAGGGCCTTGTCCACCTGCAGGAATCTCCACCATGCAGGACTGTCTCTCTGGCATCGTCCTGGTATCCTGGCAGGCCAGTAATGGGTCAGACTACTACACATCCACCATGCAGACTGACACCGGCATCTCAGAAATGTGCATGTCTGACTCTAATGAATGCAGCGTCCATAGCCTGACCTGTGGGCACAACTTCTCTGTGTCAGTCACGGCCTCCAACAAGCAGTGTAATATCACCTCCAGACAAACCACAAGTCTTCACTCAGGTGAGGTCTTTAAAAAGACTGAAGTTTACGATGCTTTGTCTTTGTAATCAAGAATCATTTACTTTTCTCCTGTTATTCACTCCTACAGTATTTATAATTCAGAGGATGCAGCTAAACCAATAACGTTTAACGGCTTTCAAAAATATCTATCAAATAAAACCATTTCCTTAATCCCTCTTGATGATGATCTACTTTATATATCACTCTTATGCACACAAATACATTATTTATTTCTGAACTTTGAATTCAACGTGATGAAGCCCTTGTCTGCCCCCTACCTGCAGTGCCATGTGCTCCCAGTAACATCTCGGCGGTGATGAACTGTGCCAACAACACTGCTCTTGTGTCCTGGTCTGGTCGTGGTGCTGTACAGTACTCAGTGACGGCCCACAGTGGTCAGAGCAACGTCAGCTGCCAGAACTCTAACCACAGCTGTAGACTTGACAACATCACGTGTGGCAACCGCTACACTGTTCATGTGGTGGCTATGAATGACAATTGCTCCAGTATCCCCAGCCAGGCTCTGATACTCAACTCAGGTAAGAGAGGAAACACCAACAAATTCACTCTTATACACGGTTATAGTTTTATACTTTTGTGCTGTGTATACCAAAATGTTCAACTTTAAATGTCTCCTTATTCCCAGCTCCCTGCCCGCCTCAGAATGTGAGTGCAGAGGTCAACTGTCTGTCAAACGACATGACGATTTCTTGGGATGCCATCAGAGAAGCAGACCACTTTCTGGTGTCGGTAATTGCAGACAATGGAGGAACCAGCGAGTCCTGTAACACCACAAACACGGCATGTTCCATCAGCAACGTGACCTGTGGAAATACATTCAGGGTTCAAGTCACCTCCGTCAGAGGCGCCTGCCGCAGCCAGCCCGGTCAGGCCCACAGCATCCCGTCAGGTATGAAAACTTCAAAAGGCTTCCATCCTTGCAAAAAAAAATCCATCCATCCAGTTACCAATTTAACTGTCATGTTTACTTTCTAGCTCCCTGTCAGCCTCAGGGAATCAGAGGCAACCTCGACTGTGTGACCAATTCTGCCTGGATATCATGGGATGCTGCTCCGGGGGCGGACAGTTACACCGTGTTAGCTGTGGGTGGAGGGGACTATACAGCCAATTGCACCACTTCCTCCAACACCACATGTGAGGTGGAGGACCTGGCATGTGGCATGCTTTATAACTTCAGTGTCACTGCTAAAAGCAGCAAATGTGAGAGTCAGCCAATTGCCACCATCAACTTGCAGACAGGTAAAAGAATTCTGACTTTGTAGATGAAATAAACCACGTGAATTTAAAATAATGCCCAACCATGAGTAAAACAGAAAGTCATGGACGCTGCAGTTATCGTTAATGAAAATCTGTCTCTTCTTCCAGCCCTCTGCTCCCTCTCTGGTATCACAGCGGTTCCTCAGTGCCACAATTCCTCCATCCTCGTCCTGTGGAATCTGATGGAGGGTGGCCAGGGAAACACTGTGTACACAGCCACAGCAGTAGCCAGTGATCATACCTGCCTGTCCTGCAACAACACTGGCACTAGCTGCTACCTCCCTGGAGCACGATGCGACCTCCATTACACCGTCATTGTTGCTGCTTCATCAGACCAGTGCAGCGGTCTGAGAAGTCCACCGTACAGAATTAGCATGGGTATATAGATTTCTTTTTTGTTTTCTGACATACCATCTTTTCAAGTACTAACTTAAATGTATTGTTTGGATGAGTTTTTCCCATTCCTTTTTGGCTTCTGCAAAGGTTTCTAGCTGAGACTTATATGAGAAGATATATACCACATTCATATCTGTCCGGTAGGCTTAGCAAGAAACGAGACATCACCTATTCCCAACTTTTCTCACAGAGCCGTGTCCGCCCAGGAACGTGGTGGTCAACGCCACCTGTGAGGACAACAGTGCACTGGTGTCCTGGAGCCCCTCTCCTGTAGCAGAAACCTATCATGTCGTCGCCATGGGTGTAGACGGACATCCTCATACTTGCAACACCACCTCCAGTAACTGCAGCCTATCAGAGCTCCACTGCGACCAGCAGTATACAGTATTTGTGACTGCCAGCCATGAGAACTGCTCCAGCAAGGCCAGTCAAAATGCCACACTCAACACAGGTATTAGTCTTTATATACTAAAGACATGGGGCAAACCAGTCTTTGTTCATCCGTTGACCAAACACAACTAAATAATATTAGTTTCAGCAGTTTGATCTTCTTTTTCTGTCCAGGTCCCTGTCAGCCTGATGGTCTCTCGGTTACTTTCCACTGTAACAATCAGTCTGCATTGCTGTCATGGACGGCCTCAGATAACGCTGTAGCCTATTATGGCTGTGCCCAGGCTGGAAATGGAGACATGCTGTACTCTTACAGCACAGATCCCACCTGCACCATCCAGGCTCTTGATTGTGGAACAGTTTACAATTTCTCTGTCCAGGCCTCAGATGGGACATGCAACAGCTCCTTCAGTAGCCCAGTGCAGAGTGGAGCAGGTATAAGAGCCGCATGTAAGACTCAATAACTTAGCAACATATGCTCTTAATGTGGACTAATACATGAATTATTCTCTCTCTCTCTCTCTATCCAGCTCCCTGCCCGCCAGACACTGTTGAGGTGCAGCTGCTACCAATGGAGATGGAGATCCAAGTGACGCGCTTCAGCTGGACACAGATCACCTGTAGCGACACGGACTACATGCTGAAGTTAACAGGAAGTCTGCTGGGAGACAGCCAGGCCCAGCTCGAGGTCTCTTCCTATTGGACAACCGTGACGTACTTTGAGATTCCTCTCCCCTGTGGTTCATCCTACTCTGCTACACTGGAGAGCAGGAACGCTGCCGGTACCAGCGACCCATCTGTGCCTCTCAATGACACAACAGGTGAACTACACTGAACGCTCGAGCTACTGTTCAAACATATTTCTTACATTTTGCCCTTTTGACAATGGAGTCTTTATCATAGCATAGTATTTACTTTATTTATAGTAATATGCAGTCGACTTTCTTATGGCTGACTAGACTTGTAACCACATATCATAGCAACATAACATTGCACTGTCATGACTTACTGTGACACTTAAAGACAACATCCATCGTTCATGTTATTATTAACACCTGTGCTTTTCCTACTGACAAGTCAAATTGTCTGCTGTGAAAAGGGCCAGTTGTTGTAGCTCATTTAGTCATGAATGTATATGATTTTCATTTGAAACCTAGTTTTCAGATGTTTTAACAAACTCCGACGTCTCTCCTCCCAGCTCCCTGTCCACCATCAGGGGTGGTGTACAGTGGTAACAGCTCCTTTGCCACAGTTGCGTGGAACGCATCCGTGTTTGCCACCACATACACGGTGTACGACAACGGTGCGACGCCAAAAGCCCAGCTGTGCAGCACTGCAGGGCTGTCCTGCTCCCTGTCCAACATGGCCTCCACTAACCTGGTGATCACAGCCAGCAACACAGCTGGAGAAAGTGAAACGACAAGCGTCACAAACGGTAGGACCGTCAGTGTGTTTGCTTGTATAAATAAGCATGGAGAGGGGGCTGTATTTGAAAAGACACATTTCACGGTATGTTTAAAACAAACTGAATTGATCTAAACCTTTTCCCTGTAGTGGTAACACAAGAACGCAGGAGGAGAGATCTCAGTTGGCAAAAGCCAGAGCACGGTGGGTTTGTATTTATAAGGACAGATGTTACAAAAATGATAGGTAGAATATTAAACCTAACCTGAATATATTAGCATTATTATTCCTCTTTTATTGGACTCTGAACTCTGACTTGATTTCCCCCAACAGGAGGCCTCTCAGCTCCCGTGCTGAATGTCACACAAGCAACGGCAACAGTTGTTTTAATTGAGTGGCCGCCAATAGAAGGTGCTTCCCACTACAGACTGGTCATCAGGGAGCAGAGCAGCTCCAGTGAGCCCGAGACGAACATGGTGCAAGGCGAGCTCACCATCGTCACTGATCTGAACCTGCACTCCGCTTACTGTTTCTCCGTGTGGGCCGAGGACTCGACCACTAGTGGACCAGAGTCAGAGCCTGCGTGTGTGCAAACAGGACAGGGGCTTGATAGCAAAACACTCATGTAGACAGAGCTAGACGTCTGCACTCGTCTCCCGATTAAAATGTGATGGTCTCACTGTCAACGTATTTGACAAATCTTTTCCCAGTTACCTATAATACACAACCACTTTAGGTCTGGTACAACATGGGAATTAATTAGCATGCTCTGACATTTACATTTCTGCTGCCAACCATAAACTGCAGTTAGTTTGAGGTGTTACACAAGGGAAGAGGTCTTCTAAATGAGAGCCCATGCCCACATTTTAAGTTCCTCTATAAAATCGTTTTGTCTGCTGTTGGTTGAGGTGATATGTTTTATCTTGGGCCTTGTTCCTCTTGGTTTTTAAAAATATAATCACTTTTGTAATGACTTAGTCACCTTAAAGTTAATCTATCAGGAATTAACATGTCCAGGGTATTTGTTTACTAATTCTGAATGTATATTTAATATGGAAAACATTTTCAGAATGTTCTAATAAAACTATTCTTTGCATTCAGCGTTTGTCTTAACTCAGTGATTGTTGTCCTTAAATGTATATAGTAATCTATGCTTGTATGACATTTGCCAAGTCATTTTCTTTCAAGACAAGAACAATGTGTTGTTTGTAAAAGTGTTTTATTAGAAAACAAAATGCAACAGAGCAATAACCCAAACACAGCACAGGCAGGGCTCAGTGTGTGAGTCGTACAAAATCACCCTTTGCAGACTGCTCATTCGAGGATTAAAACATTCTCGTGCTGTCTACACACCACCATGGACAGAATTGCTTTTTGCTGAGCCATCGTTCCACATTGCTGCTACGCTCAAATTTGTACTTCAACCCGTCACTTGTGACCCTTCAAAGCATGTTCAGAATACAACTGAACGAGACGCTTAAATATGAAGAAAGTCCAAATATATGCACTGTGATATCAGTCAAATTTAAAAAATATGTTTTGGCCTCTGTATCGCCTGAAAATAATTCTTTATACATTACATAAATCATGACAGTGTTGAGCTGAGCTTCCAGCAGCGACTGCACTCGACCCAGCAAGAAAGGCAACTCAGCACTTTCATCGTGTGTAGACAGCCTCCAAAACAGTATGTACACACCCACATCTTCACAGGGCAAACGAGCGCACCATAGAAAATTAAATTTTTGCCACTTTTCAAACTGTGAAGACCAACTGTTCTGATGGGGGGAGGAGAAGGCAAAAAAAACATAAAAGTAAAGCAACATTACATCGGCCAAAGACGACAACTGCAGATGTCAATGTGCTGACATTCCTTCTCTTTAGCACAAGTGACAGACAGCTGGGTAGAAAAAAAGGATGGTAAACACGGGAGTAGAAGAAGTAATATTGCTGGGGGGGGTGGGGGCGACATTTACTCAGTGCTGTGACTCCTATGTTTACTAAGGTCATTACTGGACTCTCGCTGATGATGGCTCCTCTCTTTGCTACCACTACGTTTGTGAGAACGCTGCTCTCCGTCTCTCTCCCTGTCTCTATCTCTGCTGTGGCTGAGCTCTCCTTTCCTGCTCTTCTCTTCTCCCCCACTTTTGTGCTTCCTCTCCCTGCTTCGACTCCGACTCAACTTTTTGGCCTTCCTCTCTTCTCTGTGCCTCTCCCTGTCCTCTTTATGCTTCTTGTCGTCGGTCTCTCCCCTGCTCTTTTTGTCCTTGGACCTCTCCTTCTCTGCGCCTCTGTCTTTTTGTCGTTCCCTGTCCTTCTTCCTGCTCTTGTCTTCCCCGCCGTCTCTTTCTTTGTCTCTGCGTTCGTTTTTTCGGTCCCGGCTGCCACTGCGGATTCGCCTACGTTCCCTACGGTCTTGGTTCCTGTCTGCACTGCGGGACCGCCGTCTCTCCCTGTCCCCCCTCTCCCCTCTGTCCCTATCCAGGTCCCTGTCCCCCCTGCCGTCCCTCTCCTTCTTCTGGCGGTCACGCTCCCTCTCCAGCTCTCGGTCAAAGCTGGGGCCGTGGCGTTCTTTCTCGCGGTGGTGGCTCCTGCTCCTTGACCGCTTGGGTGACCGTTTGGGTGAACGTTTTGGTGACCGCTTGGGTGAACGTTTGGGTGACCGCTTGGGGCTCGGTGTCCGCCTGGGAGTCCTGGCAAGAAAAGCAACATTAGCTTCAAGCAATTAAACTTTCTGTTCTAACAAAACTAAAGATTGGCTACATAAATCTGAATAATTGTAGCATCCAGTAAGTCATGGCAAGAGTTGTATAGTCATATGTATGAACCTTTCCATCCTAAATAGCTGCTAGATGATGGGGTCAGGTAAGATTACCTAGAGAAAATAAAGCAAAAAAGCTTGAACCATTGACTGCGTTACCTTGACTGGCGTCGTTCCCCTGGCCTCCCTGCCTCTGCTTCCGGCTCTGCGGGTTCCTCCTCCTCCTGCGGCTCCTTCTGAACAACCTTACGAGGCCTCGCCTTCATCTGCTGGTCAATGAACTTCTGCACAGGCACTGGGATTCGGGGGAACAGAGTGGAGAACCACTCCAGTTTGGTCAAGAAGGAGCGCAACATCTCCCCAACGGTCATGACACAGCCACCTCCTGCCTTCACATCGAGCTCCTAGAATCAAACGGTGGGAAAGAACAATAGAAAAAAAAAAAAAATCAATTAGGAGACACGGGCAGGACACAGGAAAAATCTGATCGCTTTCTCAATCTTGCCTCGAATCAAAAAGCAATTTGTGATGACCAAGTACTGAACATTCACCTCTGTTCATCTAGCTTAATCTCTCATATCAATCAGATTTGCCTACTTTACTTTGATAGTTTTAAAGAGGAAACACAACTGTAAATATAAAAAGAGCTTGCCTCGTCTAATCTGTCTGGCAGTTTCTGGAGAGTCTGTATTTACAATGTGAGCTTTGATCAAGCAAATGCTATTACATTTCTAAGATCCGCCCTCCTTTCCTTCACATCTGTTTAAAACGACATGTTCTAAAAAGTGGTTTGCATCGACTGCTTACAGACCAGAAATGAAGGAAACAAGAGAGCAGCATCTAATAACACTGACACTTCCTCATTGAGCCCAAAGGACAAACAGAGAGAAGCAATGGCTTCCTTCAGTCTCCCAAAAGCACAACGGGGCCGTAGGAGCATAACAACTGCCCACAGTATAAGCACAGGATGGAGCAGGTAGGCCAAATGCACACCAGTTGAAGAGTTATCGACTTTATATGGTAGAGAACAGCCGCTTTGCACTCACACACGCAACCCAACAGTGCTGAGAAACAATATCCAATTCACCTGCTGCACAATGGGCATCTAAAGAAAAAAACAGGGGAATTAACCAGTTGGGTAGGATTTCATATGATCAAATATAATGCAACAGAACATCAAAGGAGGCCTGGCTGCACAGCCTGGTATCAAATTGTATGCTAATCAAATAGGGTGGGAACAATAGACTAATGCAACAGTTGACATGTGTTATATGGTTTGTGTTTATCTTGTCTGTGTGTATCCATATGAATGCTCCAGTTGCTATTAATCCCAAATTTAGTTTTGTGCAACAAGTCCTGATAAAAGCTTGTCAAAAACAAAAAGGGCATGCCTTAATATTACATTGACGAAAAGATTGACTCATTATTGTATATGGTACTTACCATGATAAAAATCACCAGCAGAGAAGTGAACAAGTAACCTAGCTACTTAGGTTTAGAGGACAAAAGTTGGGGACAATTAAGCCAAATGAAGGCAAAGGTGAAAAATCAGCTATGAGCATCACAAGGGAGGGACAGTTTTTAACTTGTGTCGTGTAACTGTGTATTTATTGCAGAGAAAGAAACATTAAATTATTACCCGAGGTGACATACCTCCTCATCATCCAGGAAACCGTCGTACCATTCTATCAAATCTGCCGGGGGCTGAGTGTATCTGAGGAAGAACCAAACAGAGAGCACAAAGTTTAATTTGAATTGTTTTTACGGACCTGTTCCAATAATACCTCATACACTGATTTTCAAACAGGTGAGACTTAAATAAATAAAAATGTGATCAGAGCATTACAATTTCCCTTACACAGATTTATTTTAGTACCAAATTTCTAATTACAATATTTATTATTTTCTATTAACTGATGAGGTCTTGCCTTAAAATTATATTTCCAATAAAAAATATTGCCGTAAAAGAACAACACATTTCTCTTCTGAAACAGGTGGGCAGTTGAGCAATCAGAATTACGTCTTAACTAAAATGTGCAAAATATCTAGTAATGCACGGAATCTCTGCAAGTCTAAAACAAAAAAAAAACCTACATAGAAGAATTATGGCAACCATACCTTATGTACATGAATCCAAGCGTTCTGATGTATGGAGAGTCTGTATGAGTGATCAGACCCATCAGCTGTTTGCGAGTCAACTTGAGAGTAAACAGTTTGTATAGAAGACAGAAAGCAGTGGACACAATACCACCAGTCCCAACTCCACGCACCTAAAAAGGATGAAGACACATTCGTAAAGCATATCAGTGTAAATGATTCACAGCAAACCTATTCACAACGACTGGTCTTTAGACTACATCACTCAAGAAGTACACTAATTAAAGTACTAATAAATCACTTCAATGTCTCATATTTGTAAAGCATCATCCTCCAGGCTGGTAAGGGTAGAGGGGGGGTTAGACATGGGGAATATAAAAAGCACGTACTTCTCACTTACCCCTCCGCACATTCCAGTCTGACCCGCGGTCTTTCTGCTGCCTTTTTCCCAAGGTTCAGCATGGGTCACCTGTAGGAACACAGGACGAGTTAACTAGTTTACACACACATACGTCTGAGAGACCGTATTGGATCTGCACAGATCACAGCACACATTAGAAAGATACCGTCCACCTCCCTGACGACTTGCATTAGAGGTTCCATGAGATATTCTGGGACTATCGCGGACGGTCCCCTCGCAGATAACACAGATCAACTCGTATACATAACGATGGTGAACTGCCCTAATCGTTCTAAAAATGTTGACGTACCGTTAGCCTTTAAACTACCAATCCCAAATGAACGGAAACGTTACTCCAACAAACCAGGTGTAAAGTTTATGCAAGGTTGATAATGGCAGCAAATTGACGGTACCGTATTTGATTTAACGTTAGCTTAGTTGCTAAAGTTAGCTAGCGTTAGCTTACTAATAATATAAATAATGTTATACATTTGTGGGCAATTATGTGAATTAGGCGGACGTCTTTCCGTGCCCTGAAGTTAAGTTAGTTAAAATGAATGCCATCTGATCCTAGTTACCATAGTTATTTGACGACTGCAGTGTAGCGCTAGCTTGTGACAGTGGATATCTAGCTAGCATGCGGCTTAGCATTGGCTAACGTTACCTTGAAGTAGATTTCGTCCACAACTTCATGGTACGTCTTAAGTTCATAAAGCTGAACTTTGAAATACGGCGAAGACAGTACATTCGTAAGGATCATTGGGTTGAGGTTCATGGTCTTCTCGTTGCCCCACAGAGGCAATACATTTCCATGTTTTCCTGGTGGAGGCTTGCTAACGGCCTGTGTTGGTAGCTGGTTTCCGACATTAGCCATGTTAGCTGAATCCCACGCCGCTAAGCTTACTGTACAGTTAGCGTATTTCCGATTACAGACCCATCAATATTATATCGTGAAATGATGATCGTTAACAATTTCGTCCGCTTAATTGTCGCTGATTTGAGGTTAAATTGATGTTAACAACTTCCCGCCGTCGTTGTAGCTCGGTGCTGTTGCGAGGTGGAACGGGACCGTTGGTGGTGCAATGTGAAAAGAACCGACCGCTAACCGTCGATACGTCAACAAGGCGAATGTTTACAAAATAAAAGCATTTATTTATAAATCTAATTGTTTAAATTGTTAAATCAAACAATTGTGCAAACACATATTTCTAAGGCTTCTGTAAAGACGGGGTGTTTTAATTATTATGTCATGGTGTATTTAAAACAATTTTGCTTTTCATATCAATGTACTCAGTACACGTTTATTTTGAATTTTTTTTGTCTTGCCTCAACAGGAAATGGTACATTTTACTTTCCGATTTAAATTTGCCGCTTGACAATTCCAACAACCAATTTCCTCTTAAAGCTTCCATTGTCTTTTTAACATTTAATTTGATATGGGTAGTTAAATAAAATGTAACCATAAATTTGCTAATTTGCTTTTTCCTTCCATTTTAATTCTGGGTCACATTTTCACCCCTTCTGCAAAAAGACATTAAAATCCAGAATGCACATTTTTTTAAATGTTCTTTTTATTTGGCCTATATACATATACATACATAGATTACATACTTTAGATATGACTTGGCACAAATACAAAATCTGTGGTAAAAATAAATTCCATCCGTTAACTATGACTTTACAGACATATGCACACGCACACAGAAAATAGACATCATACCGAAGGTACAAAACATGAAAACTTCATGGTATTTTAAATTCAGTCATCCTCCCTCACAACCAGGTGAGGAACCAGGTGACATATAATGGTGCTGTAACCGCCGTCAATTTCACAATGTCAGTTATCAATTATTTAAATTTGATGGAACTTCAAGGAACGGACGCAGTCCCCTCCAGCCACTTAAGGTACAAGTAAAATGGTGACACAAAATCAACCACAGCTAAATAAAAGCATGTTGGGTACTGAAGGATATTTTTTAAATAACAGAGATGAGTCAACAATATAATGTAGAATTACATTACTAATCATAGTCTTACTTTTCAAAGAAGACCAACAGAAATGTCAGTACACCAGTAATCTCAGTCCCCAAAATGTTCCAATTGTGGCCTTCACCTCCACTTCTTGAACACTAGAAGGCTCTCCTGGTCAACAGACACTGTAGGTCAGACGCAGAGGGATTGCGTAAAATAAATTAAATCTCCTGGACTGAGGCGGGAGCATGTTTTGATGGCAATTCTACAACTCAGTCTTGTATACCCCGTATCAGTGTAATACGGCACCCTTATGACAGGCACATGCTTCCCAAAGCCTAGCGCTTGATCACCACCTGCTCAAAGGCTCCAGCCGCAACCCTGAAAGAGAATGCCACAACGTGTTACATGACAGGAAATGAGGGTGGTTATGTGATCTGGCTGCTGCTGTGGTGCATTCTTTTATAAGCAGAACTAACACTGTGTTGTGAAATTGAAAGTACCGTGTGACATGTATGTAATAGATTCCTAAATAAAAACATGTTCATTTCACCATTTAGCATATGTCCAATGAATTTAGATTTGTAATAAATGCCTGCTGCGTGGCAACCACAATCCACAGTTACATAATCACACCCACCTCATATGCTGGCTTCCTAAAGCTGTACTCCCACCAGGACCAACAAACAAGCTGAGCCCCTCATCTGTAGCAACACACACACACACACACACACACACACACACACACACACACACACA